GAAAGCACTGCAGGATCCTGCTAAACACATGAATTCTTGCTAAATGCTAACTAAAATGCTACCTGGGTTTCTGAAAAGCTTGGGTCTTTTCAAAGGCAATGGAAGACCCACTCCTGTTATTCTCTCCATCTCTGTTTGTTTAATTAACCTTTTTCTGCTCACCTGAGCCATGCTAACCTGTCTGAACTTCTCACCTTTGTGCAGCGCTAATTTAACTATTTGCAGTCTCTACCAGATTATCAACAGCCTTCAGCCAGTAAAAATCCAGCGTTCTCTCTCACCTGGTTCCCCAGCCGGGTTCAGGTGTATACCAGTATCAGATCTCTGCCTTATCTGGATTCTGACCTTGGTCTGATTTTTAAAATAAAGCCCCTCTGACGCTGGTCTGCCTTCTGGGAATGCTGGTTGTGTTCTGCCCACCTTGGTGGTTTATGGCTTTGATGTTTTCCACTACCTGAAACCAAATGGAACCCAGGAAGAGTATCTCTGCTCTCGTAGAGACTGATGGAGATCCTTAAATAAAGAAATATCCAGACTTCAGAGCAGTAAATCCTGAGAAACGAGAGTATTAGTTCCAACGAGGAGAAGGCTGATCTAGCTAACAGCAGCTGTGATTTGCAGATAGTCCTGAACTGAACTGATATCAGAATTTCATGGTTTATTCTAATTATAGTAGATTTCAAATACAGACTAAAATAAGATCCAGTGATAATATTTAACCGATTTAAACGTCATTGAATAATTTTCTGAAATCCTGCCATCAGTGTAACTTTACCTGCAGGGACCAAACCAGTTTGTTTAGTTCAGTTTGACTTTCGCTCTGGATGTTTTGATCATCTGAGTTAGAATATATCTTTATTTTTTAGCCTTAAATAAAAATCAGGTTGTGTTTGTTTGATCTTAAAATTATTTTACCTGATTTTTAATCTTTTTCATGTCATTGGTTTTCTATGACATTTTTCATGTTTGTTTGAATGGATGAAGGATTAGAAGCTAATAAGGCTGTTATCTGAACCATCACCAAACTATTTTAATCAAGAGATTATTTATTAAAGTCAGAGTTAACTCTGTTGTTTACACATGTTGTTATTCTTTGGTAACTTTTCCTTCCTTTTATTAATGTTTTCACTGAGAACCAAGAAGGAAACATGATCAGTGGAGCTAATATCAGGAGGTTATGAGGAAACAAGCTGAAGTCTCTGAAGTCTCAGACCTTTCTAAGCCCAAGAGATGAGGAAGCATTTCCATCCAAATCATGTCCAGACTGATCCGGAGAAAAAGCCATTAAAGCGCAGAGATTTTCCTCCGACTCTAAAGGTCAAACTGAACCTGGAAGCTTCTTATCGGAACAGAAAATGTTTCTTAGTGGAAAAGTCAGAATAATCAGGTCAACTTGTCCATGAAGATATTAAAAACATCTTCTCAAAACGAACGGATTTCCAGAAGAGGGTGTGAAACGTAACATTGATGCTAATTTCAGCAAATTAAATCAGAAAGTAGTAAAAATAAGGAAGTGAATCGTCTAAAGGAGCAATAAGCTCTCCTGCATCAGCAGCCCTTTAAACTTAATCTAATTTTCATCTTTTATTGTACATAACCGTAATCCTTTAGTAAATGTATAATAAGATATGAAAATATATAGATCATCATGAATAAATATATAAAAAATTAACACCATGGATGAGAAATCTGATGTTTTTGATAATTTTTCTTTAGCAGAAACATGAAATGAAGCAGATCCTAAAACATTGAGACACAGTTATAACGGCCTAGTCAAAGTCTTCTCACCGTCTGTGGATTAAACTCAGAATAAATCCAATGTTTCAGTTGAAAACCAGCATGATGAACCCAGGATCATGATAGAAACCATCTGGGCAGCTGAGCTGAGAGGAGAAGGTTTAACCTGCGGCTGTGATGAAGCTGTTTCTGAGGAGCTGCCAGTCATCAGTGTTCTACTCAGAGCGTCTGCTGAAAAATAAAATCTAAATGAACATCACTCCTCCTCTCAGCCAGTGGGGAGGCCAGGGCATTGCAGAGGATGGTCGTGCATGAAAAGGTATTTTTCTAAAACAGTTCAACCTGAGAAGGAGGAGAAGGAACTTTCTACAATTCAACCTGGAAGCTGGAAGGTTTCAGGAGTTTCTCTCCATTTATAGAAATTATTTTCAATCATTGCCACTGATCTGAACTTGATCAGATGATCTGAACTTGATCAGATGATCTGAACTTGATCAGATGATCTGAACTTGATCAGATGATCTGAAATTGATCAGATGATCTGAACTTGATCAGATGATCTGATCTGCATCAGATGATAACGTTCACAGGTTTAAACATTCAGCCAGAAAAACTACATGTTTTGATTTTTTTATGTGACAAAAACAATAAATTTATGCAGCAGAATGAGAAGTTTTTAGGGGGTTAAATGTATTAGATTATTAAACAGGAAACAGTTCAGTGTTTAATAGAAGCCTTTACTGCTGAAGTTTTACAACTTTGGTTCATTGATTTAAAAACAGAAGGAGGTAGAAAAGGAAACGTCTGCATTGGCATCAATCTATGGAACGCCATGGAGGCGCGGCCGCGTTTGATCCCACAGACTCCACCGTTAAAACGCTGCAAGCTGACGGCCGGCCAAAGGTTTGAGTTAGGAGAGCCATGCATGGTTGTGTGGTTGTGCAGTTATGCAGTTGCGTGGTTGTGTGGTTGTGTGGTTAGGTGGTTTTGTGGTTGTGGTTGTGCGGTTGTATGATTGTGCGGCTGTGCGGTTGCGTGGTTGTGTGGTTGTGCGGTTAGGTGGTTTTGTGGTTGTGGTTGTGCAGTTGTATGATTGTGCGGCTGTGCGGTTGCGTGGTTGTTTTGTTGTGGTTGTGTGGTGCTGTTGCATGGTTGTGGTTGTGTGGTTGTGCGGTTGTGTGTCTTTCTGAGGCGTAGCAAAGCTTTTCACAGGTTTCCATGACATCACTGTGGGGCAGCTTCCATTGAGGATGATCTCACACGCCCACGCCGACATGTCATGGCGCTAATGACTGTCTGGGCTTGGAAACACACACGTCGATTGTTTCTGTGCTGAAGCCTCCCACTCCATCTTTGACGCCGTCAGGGAATTAACACGAGTGGGAAAGCTGGATGTGATAAAAGCAGCTCAGACGAGGTGTCAGGAAAGGAATTCAGTCGTCTTCAAGTCAAATGGACTCATTTGACCTGAAATCATCAGTTCTTTTATAATGTTGCTCGTTCACCAGCTGCTTCCTCTTCATCACTTTCTTCATCACAGCAGAGATCACTGCTGACTCAGGCTGAGGGCTCTGCTCCCCCTACAGACCAGATGGGGTACTGCAGCGAGGTGGAGGATGGGAAGCTGTTGCTTTCACGAACTTTTTCCGTTTGATCTATTTCTTGAAAGATTAATTTATTGAAAAGTTTTATCAGCTTTAATGTTTAATGTTAGCTGGTCGACCTTTTCTGCTCCACTAATCTGGATGAAACTCTCAATCTCATCAATAAAAGAACAAGTTTGTAGCTTTTACATTTTATTATTAATCATTTTTGCTATTCTGCTTTTTACCAGACTGTAATGTTCACCTGCACTCCTGACTGTTACTATAGTAACAACTGTTTACATGCATCCTGCACGGCTCACTTTGACTGAGTATTGGTTTGCACTGTCGACTGTTTATTCTCAGCACCAATTGTTTACATTTATATTTGCAATAACTTACTTTAACTGTAATATGCAATTACCTTCCACTGCACTTTAATTTAGATTTAGCTTCTGTCCAAACTTTATGTATAAAGCCATCTGTATATTATATTCAGTACATATCCAGCTGTAAATTTAGTTCATAACACCGTTTATCTATATATTATATTCATCTATTAGTGAGATTCTGTTTGTAATGGAATTCATCTCTATATTTATTCAGTAGAAAACATGTCCTGTATTTATAAAACCATTTTTTATTCTGTATTTGCTGCTGTTGCCTTTCTAAATAAATAACTTTTGTTATTTATGTTCATCAACTTTTTGATTGCATTTATGACATTATACTTTTTTTTCTCACATTCAGAACTTTAAATGGTGTCTCTGCTGAAACAGGTAATAGAAATAAATCCATCAGTAATAACTGATCAGGTCTAATAATTAAAAGTCTGAGGTGAGTTTTTTGAAGCTGTGAAAACCTGCTGCAAAGCGCTGCTTTGCATCAAGGGTTAAACTTCCTGCTTTGGTCTCCAATGTGGCTGCAGAGCAACCTTCCCATAATGCACTGCTCTATCAGGATGTTTCCCTAGCGTCTTGCAGAACATTTGAGAGCCTAATTCTTCTTCATTTTTAGTTCAGCAAACAAAACATCTCCTTGAGGTACTTTCCTGAGAATGTTTCTTCTCTCTGATTGGCTGTGACCCTGACCCCCCTGCTCCACAGGCTCAGGTCACTGCAACCTTCACTGCTCCATGGCGACCATGAAGGAGGAGCTGTGAGGAGGCATTCAGGATCAACTGCTGTGCCGCAGCAGTTTAGCTGCGAGATGGAAGAAAGTCACAGCTTGAAGCAAATCTTTTGGTTAAACTTTTGAATTCAGACTCTCCTCTAAAAGAAAACTTTAACATTTCTACAGTTTTCTATTCCCTCCACCACCAAGTTCACAATTCTTAGCCTTTTGAAAAGCGTGCAAAACATTCCCCCCCGAGAACAAGCAGGGAAGGTAGAAACTGCAGTTCAGTTTTTGCTGTGATGAACGTTCCTCTGTGAGCTCTGCTCTTTAGAGTCTGATCTGGTCCAGTCATGTCTGAAGGTCGCTCTGTGTTCAAAGACCTGAACCTTTCAGCTTCCTTTATGCAGGCGAAGAATCGGAAATAAGGCCGCTAAGATCTAAATGCTGCTCCTAACAGGAGGATCCAACAGGAAACCAAATATGGTCATATCCTGTTCAGTCACACATTCAGTTCATTGGCAGCTGCAGCAACCATCAAACAGCGTGTTTGAAAGAGAGACCGACCTGTTGGATGAACATGTGCGCCCCCTGTGGGCTGAGCAGGAGGATGGCTCTGCGTAGCGTGTCCCGGTAGCGGTTCAGCTCCTCAGTCCTCATGGTGGTGAACAGGTTGGTGAAGACCTTGCTGATGTTCCTGTCCACCCTCTGCAGCGCCACATCCACACCCTGACGGGACGTCTGGTCCAGGAAGCCCTGCAGGCCGCGGATGTCTGTGGAGACAGGGAGGAAAGTCAACTGGCTGGACAAGAAAAAATGGACGAAACCCTGAACGGGAAATTAGGACATTTTTGACCCTTTAAAAAGGTGCAGAGTGCTACGGATGGATGGAGGAAGAGATGCGCGAGGCGGCGAGAGTGAGGCTGCAGAGGGGGGCTAAGCGGTGGTCTGTGAGACCCCCACAGACCACCGCTTCCATCAATCCTGCTCGCTGGAAAACAAAATGGATAATCTCTGACTGGAACATCTTCAAGGCTGCAGCAACGTATGAAAAAGTGTTAAATATTGATGAGTCTGCCATGTCTGTGTCAGCCTACATCAGCTAATGCATCGAGGACGTCAGCATCTCTAAGAACATCACCGCCGGGCCGACCGACCGCTCTGGATAGATGGAGAGGTTCAGAAATCGCCCATCGGATCTGTCAGGGGGAACATGGAGAGAAACTGTTGCTTCAGCCTCTATTACAGATGATTTTTAGAAAGCAGGGTTTCCCCTGACCATCGTCGGCTTAAAGCTTCATCAGGCCGTCCTCCATCTTGCTTTGCTCCTCTTCCTCAGTAAAGCTGAACTGGGCTCTGCTGCTGCAGCAGGTTGAACGTCCATCTCATCCTCCCTCCATCCTTCATGGTCTATTAGCTGACAGCCAGCGTGTTCTCAGCACCAACTCAGACCCAAAAGCCATTTTTTCTGCTCCACTCAGCAGCAGCTGCCCCCCCCCCCCCCCCCCAAACAACATCCACCATTTCTGCTCTCCTCCTATCGATCCATCCGTCACTCACAGCCTCCTTCTCCTTTCCAGAAAATTGACAGCGACGTTTTCTCTGGGAGAACAAACCAGAAACTGTTTTATGAAATCTGAAACTCAGACCCCCCCCCCACCCCCCCATTCAGGTTCAGTTGATCATCGTTCATCAGTAAAGTTAACGGTAGAGAAACAGGCAACAAAACGCAGTGAAAGAAATTATTGTAATAAATAAAATAATAGTTGCCTCGTATTATTTTCTCTTTATAAAAAACAACTTTTCTTTTTGTTAGAGACCAAAATAAGCCGATAAAACAGCTAAATTACACCTTAAACCTTGGAAGCAGCTACATACACTGCAAAAATAATCTAGAAATTAGTAAAACATTTCTGAAATTAAGCGTATTTAGCGTTAATTTCAGTAGGTAAATAAGACTGTTTGCCAATGGAATGAGTATATTTACTCCTAAAGTAAGATAAGTATATATTATGCACTTAAAATAGGACACCACAACAGTTTTTTCTTGTTTTAAATATAAATGATTTAGTTCCATTGGCAAAGTGTCTCACTTACCTGCTCAGTTCAAGCAAAAAACCTTATTTTAAGCAAACATTACTTCAATTTTTTGCAGTGAAAGGAGCAGCTATA